ATTTCTGTTTAATTTTTTGTGAAATGATTTTCTAGGATTTTTGCTTTTGGTAATTAAATCATTGTATTAACCACCAAAGTAAATATTTATAAATCAGTAGGTCATCACGACCTAGCTTCCTTACTGGAAAAAAAACCCAACTGACTCTATATCAGACTACCTTCTAATTAATTACATTTTGCTAGTAAGACACAAGTATATCCCTCAGCTCTAATCCTCAGCTCTAATGTTGCACATGCATACTACTCTCTTGCAAGAACATCCCATGCCGTTGCTTTTTTCTCAAATATTCTTGCATTTCTTTCAATCCATAATGTGTATGTGTGATCTCCCTTTTGTCTTTTGTATTATCCAATTCTGCCATTCTAGCCATGAAGATACGATTGGTTGAACTTGTAACCATTTCATGAGCCTGCACCACATGTTTCTACCATATGAGCAATCTGCAAAGATATGCTCCCTTGTTTCCGGTGCTTGATTGCAAAAACAGCATGTTTCATCCACCGGCACTTTCCATTTCTTCAACCTGTCAGCAGTAAGTAGCCTTCCATGCATTAGCAACCACGTTGTGAAGATTGCTTTTGGTCGAGCTTGATTCTGGTACATTAGGCCTTTCCATGTAATCTTTGGCAGCTCACCTAACAGCTTCAAGTAGACTTGCTTAACCACTGTCTTTTGATTAACTTGATTGCTGCTGATACTTTCCATATTACCTCTTGCTCCAAATATTTTCCTTATCATCCAAGAAGCCTGTTTTGGTGCTTCCATATTGGCAAAGGATTGGTCCTTAATATAATAACTATGGATCCATTTGATCCACAGTTTGTCCTTCTTGTTTGCCAACTCCCAGCTTGCTTTTGTGATTGCTGCCTTGTTCCATATTGCTAAATTGATCAAGTTGAGCCCCCCTGTAGCTCTAGGTGCACACGCTTTTTCCCATGACACCAAAGCCTTTTTAGTAATTACATTCTCCCCTGACCACACATAGCTTCTGCAACAAGCCTCTATTCTTTTAACAACTTTAGCTGGGATAATGAATATCTGAGCCCAATAAGCTTGAATACCAAAAATTACATGTTGTACCAACTGAATTCTGCCTGCATAAGATAGTTTCTTTGCTGTCCAAGATGATATTCTAGCCACTATTTTTTCAATAAGTGGCTGCCATTGCATAACTGAAAGCTTCTTTGTGTCAAGTGGTATGCCTAGGTATTTGAAAGGCAATGAACCTTGGCTATAACCAAGCTTGTGTTGTATCTCTTTTTGTACCTCCAAGCTAACTCCTCCATAGTAAATAGAGCTTTTAGCTAGATTAGCTTTAAGCCCAGATGCTGCTGAAAAGATCTGGAATCTGTCATGGATCAATGCTACTGATGTAGCATCTCTTCTTGCAAAAAGCAAGAGATCATCCGCAAAACTCAAGTGAGTTATATCTAACCTTGAACACATAGGATGAAAGTGAAATGTTTTTTCCAGCTTCAAATTCTTCAAGTTTCTGCTTAGGTACTCCATTGCTATAGCAAACAAAAAGGAGGACATTGGGTCCCCTTGTCTCAATCCTCTAGCTGCATCAAAAGGTCTAGTTGTCTCTCCATTAATGAGTACAGTGTAGTTTACGGTTGTAACACATTCCATAATCCAGCTAATGAATTTAGTGGGGAAGCCCGGTTCTTCTAGCATTTGGTGTAAATATCTCCAATCCACTGTGTCATAGGCCTTTTGAATATCCACTTTGATGAGGCATCTTGGTGAAATGTTCTTCCTTGAATAAGCCTTGACCAATTCATGAGCAAGTAAAATATTGTCTGCCACCTTTCTACCTGGAATGAATCCTGCCTGTGTATCTGATATGATAGAAGCAATTACTTTCTGAATTCTGTTGGCTAGAACCTTGGCAATGAGCTTATATAAAACAGTACAACAGGCTATTGGCCTATATTTTTTGATGCTTGAGGGGTTAGGAACTTTAGGGAGAATTGTAATAGCTGTACAATTGACTGCTCTGTATAACTTCCCTGTATGAAAGAATCCCTTTACTGCTTGGCATATTTCTGAGCTTATGATAGACCAACCTTTCTTGAAGAACAAAGCATTATATCCATCTACCCTTGGTGTTTTATCATCTCCAGTAGCACACAATCCTTCATATATTTCTTGATCAGTAACCTCAGCACATAAATTGATCTGCTGCATATGATTGATCCAATAACACACAATCCTTCATATATTTCTTGATCAGTAACCTCAGCACATAAATTGACCTGCTGCATATGATTGAGCACTGGTCCATTCTTCATTACCTGTTTATTTACTGCAGGTAATTGACTTACAGCTGTTCCCACCAAGGATTTGTAAAAATCAATGATCTCTGCTTGTATCTGCTGCTGATCAGTTATTTTGTCTCCAAAGCCATTAACTAACTCTGTGATGACTTTTCTTTGCCTTCTTTCCTTCATAATTGCTGAAAAATACTTAGAATTTGCATCTCCTAACCTTATCCATTTTGCCCGAGCTTTTTGTTGGAGAATGCTTTTTTCTATTAATGACCATTTTTCCAGCTTCTCTAAGGTTTGTTTTTCCTCAGTAGCCAGATCATCTAAATAACAAGTTGACATTTGATCTTGAATCCCCTGTAGTAAGCCTCTTGTTAGTTCCAGTCTTTCTTTGATACCCTTGAATTCTGAGTTATTAAGCTGCTTCAGTAAAGGCCTTAAAACCTTCAGTTTCTGCCAAACATTCTTCGTAGGATCAGAATTATAGTAGTCTTTCCATGTCTCATCTACCAGTGTAATGAATTTTGGATGGTCAGCCCATACATTAAGGAATCTAAACGGAATCTTGCCACCTGGTTCTAATCTCCTTATTGTTATAACCATTGGGGCATGATCTGATATGAATTGGCCTTGGCTTTCAGCCGGCCAAGTACAGAAGCAAAAGAGCAAAGAATCAAAGTGAAAAGCTAAGTTTTTAGTGAGAGTATTGAGAGTTCGAGTCTTGTTCTAAGGGGAAAGAGGGAGGGGTTTAAATAGCCTTTAATTAGGCGAACAAATACGGAAAGAAGTCAAACACACATNGCTTTATCATCTCCAATAGCACACAATCATTCATATATTTCTTGATCAGTAACCTCAGCACATAAATTGATCTGCTGCATATGATTGAGCACTGGTCCATTCTTCATTACCTGTTTATGTACTGCAGGTAATTGACTTACAGCTGTTCCCATCAAGGATTTGTAAAAATTAATGATCTCTGCTTGTATCTGTTGCTGATCAGTTATTTTGTCTCCAAAGCCATTAACTAACTCTGTGATGACTTTTCTTTGCCTTCTTTCCTTCATAATTGCTTAAAAATACTTAGAATTTGCATCTCCTAACCTCATCCATTTTGCTCGAGCTTTTTGTTGGAGAATGCTTCCTTCTATTAATGACCATTTTTTCAGCTTCTCTAAGGTTTGTTTTTCCTCAGTAGCCAGATCATCTGAATAACAAGTTGACATTTGAGCTTGAATCCCCTTTAGTAAGCCTCTTGTTAGTTCCAGTCTTTCTTTGATACCCTTGCGTTCTGAGTTATTAAGCTGCTTCAGTAAAGGCCTTAAAGCCTTCAGTTTCTGCCAAACATTCTTCATAGGATCAGAATTATAGTGCTCTTTCCATGTCTCATCTACCAGTGTCATGAATTTTGGATGGTCAGCCCATACATTAAAGAATCTAAACGAAATCTTGCCGCATGGTTCTAATATCCTTATTGTTATAACCATTGGAGCATGATCTGATATGAATGGTAGCCTGTAATCAACTTCCATGTGCCCATAAGTCTGCATCCATTCATCATTCCTATGGCTCTATCAATCTTGCTATAGACTCTATCTAACCCTTGCTGTTTATTTGGCCAAGTGTAGAAATCCCCCTTCCAAGGTAACTCATTCAAATTTAACATCTGCATACACTCTGAGAAGTCCTGTATTTGTATTTCATTCTTTGTAATTGGCTTACCACAAATCCTGTCTTGTATTGTTAAGATTGAGTTGAAGTCTCCCCATATGATCCATGGTATATTGCTCTGTGGTGCTAAGTCCTTCAACAGTTGCCATAATGATTTCCTTTTTTCATTGGTGTTGAATCCATAAACTACTGTCATGAAGCAGTTTATTAGATTCTGTCTGCTAGCAACTCTACAATGTATTATTTGAGCAGATTTTTCTAGGACTGTAATATCATAAGCTTGAGGGTCCCATAGTATCCAAATCCTCCCATTTAGTGCATAATTATAATTGTAACTTGCCTGCCAACTTGGTGCCACTAGTTGAGTTATCTGCTCTGCCTTATCCTTCTTTACTCTAGTTTCCAGTAAGCCCGTTAACTCTATGTTATTCTCTTTTATATAGGTACACAACTCCTTTTGTTTGTATCTCTTGTTGGTACCTCTTATATTCCACACCATCCAGGACATCATATATGTTGAATTTGGCCACCTGTGATAGGTGGTTTCAAGTTGGCTATCACAGCTAGACTTGCTTGTTGTTGTGGCCCTTGCTTCATAGGAGACAGAATTGCTTTAGCATAAGTCATTTGAACACCATTGATCTCCACTGCAATCTTCCCCTTTTCTAGTTGTCTTTGTGCACCTTCTTCTGTTTGCTGCTGATCATCTGTGCTTTCTACTAGCTTAGACAGGGGCGGATGCACCTAGGTGGAAGCGGTGTCGCCGGAAAAACTCATTAAATATGTGTAAATTATTGATATTTAAAAAAAAAAGTATTTGTACTTAATTTAAAATGACACTACTTTTAACCAACATCTCGCTTGCTCTCCTGGTCCAGCGCTTTTGTATTTTGGGAAAGGTTGTGGGTTCGAACTGGAGCCCGGTGCAGCACAATAACAAACTTTTCCCTTAACTTAGTTCCATCGTAAGTTGTCTTACTATTTTTTTTCTATCATCTTTTTTTTTGGGTTATGAAGTTGGTCAAAACAATTTGCAAAGTCAAATAATGATAAGAGTTTTAAGTGATTATTTAGTGTTTTATATAAAAAAAAAGTATTAAGTATTATTTCTGGTAAGGATATTATGAATACATTCCAAATTATAAAAGCTTGTCGAGGAGAGTTGTAGTAATATACTAGGATTTGTTTTTTCTTTAATTGGATTCTAATTTTGTTCTTTTAATTTGTATCGTTATAGTGATTTATTTAATTGTTTACTTCTTTAATGTCGACACCACTTAAGAAAAATCCTGCGTACGCCCCTGAGCTTAGAAGCACACTCTACTTCCTTGCTTATTGTGTCCACCTGCTTTTGGCTTGCTTCAACAGTGGGAGCCACTGCCGGTTCTTTGGCTATCCATATCTGCTTCACTGGTGGAGGTCTCCTCTTTGTGGGCTGAGGGTCTTGTTTAACTCCTTTTGGAATTTTTCCACAGTCATGTCCAGTTTTTAAGCATTTATTACAGAACTCTGGCTTCCAATCATATTCAACATCTTGCTCAAATATCACCCCTGAGTCATCCATAACTGGTATCTTGCTTGGCAAAGGCTCGGTGACATTTCTTCAATGAGGATTCTAGCAAAGGAGATTCTTGTTTGTTTGGCAGTGCACTCGTCTACAAACATTGGAATTCCAATGGTACTTGCGATTCTACTCAATGAGTTGCCACTCTAGCAATTCATGGGCAGCTTGGGAAACCTTACCCATAGAGGTATATCTATCATGAATTCTGCTGCAAAGTCAAACTGTGGAGACCATTGCTTCATTATCAGTGGCCTATTGTTTACTGTATATGGCCCAGCACACATAATTTCTTTCATATCATCCATACTATGAAACCTGACTATATAATAACCTTCATCATGGTAATATAGGGCTGGCATAGCTACAGTATTCCACATCTGATTTATGTACCTTTTCATGTAGTTATATCCAGGTTTTTCACCAAGAACATATACTATTAGGGCACACTTCCATTTCAAGTTTTCCTGCTCAATTTCTGCTTTTTCAAGCTTAGCCACTAGGTTCCCTTCTGTGATTTTCGGAGTTATATAGCTCAGAGTCATACCATTAGCAGTAGATCTGTTACGTGTGAGTATTCCAGCCCAAGTAGACTCCTTAGGCACCACTATAGCTGGGTTTAGTTCCTTGTTCATCAATGAAACAGTAGCAGCAGCTATTGCAGGAGGGGGTACTCGAATTACATTTTCCTGTTCCTTGTTCTTCAATGGAATAGTAACTTCACGAACAGAGGGGGGGGGGGGGGTGACGTTTCCCCTTAAATCGACATGCATAGGGATTGGGCTTTGATTTGCTCTCTTCTGTTGCTGACCAGCTGATCCTGAAGTTTCTCCATGGTAGATCTGTGCGAGATTGCCAGATCCAGCTTGCATCTTTGAAGCTCCAGAAATGGACTCCGTAACCTTTGCTGAGCTCCTTTCTATGGGATTTAGCTTTGGAATTTTATCATCTACTCTGGTTTGTTGTTTCCTGGGACGTCCGCGAGCCTTCTTTCCCGCCATAACTTGGTCGGCGCACGTTAGCTTAACATACGCCGAGAGGATTTGGAGAAGAAGTAGCTTTTTTGTGATTTTCTAGGATTTGACGAGGGTCTTTCGGAAATATTCTCTCTACCTCCCAGGGTAGTGGTAAAGTCTACGTACACACCACCTTCCCCACACCCCATTTAGGATATTTCACAGTCTCTTTTTTTTTGTTTGTTTTTGTTGTTGTTTTCTGGGATTTGCTATTTGTGGCAAAAAGATAGGTAATTATACTAGTAGAATTGATGATAGTCACAGCATTATGCTCATCAATGGTAGTTCAGTTTTAGGAGCTTCTTGGTAATTAAAATGAAGTTTTCTATTTTTTGTTATCGTGAACTTATTCTGGCTAGTGGTTTTTTTATAGGAGATGTTAAACTTTTTTCATTGATTTGCTTATTTGGAATTTTGAGTGCATTGTTTTGATGACGATTTATAATATCCCCCCTTTCTTTGTTCTTTGTTCTTGTTGAGGCAACCTTTAATCTGCAATTTTCATCTGTTTTTCAGGGCATGTCTCTTGAAAGGGTTGACCAATTGGATTACATGGCGGACGACAGAGAGGTGACTGATTCAGCCGATGAATTTGAGGGCGAGTTCTGTAACGAGGAGACAAATCTTGATGACTATGATATGGTTAGTAAAATATAGTAACTTGATTCACTTCTTCCCGCTTTAGCCTCTATTTAATTTTCTTTGGCTTTTTTTTTTATTTATTCCTTGTTCTATATCCATTTTAGGCTCGACGCTCTTGATAATTATGTTATAATATCACAGCCAAAGGTCCATGGTTTGGAATGCTCATCCTTTTGAAAATATAGTAACTTGATTCACTTGAGTACTAGTGTAGTTTTACTGGATTTTATCTAGTCAAATTTATCTATTTTCTGATGGATCGCTTGTTGTCTGGTTTTAAATTGTGATCATCAATTTTTGAGTTACCTGGAACTATTGATATCATTATGGGTTAAATGAGGCATGATTACTTTAGTGTTAGTTTATTATTCATTCTTTTTTATTTTGTGATATTTGGTTAGCCAACAAAAGTGACTGATACATCGGCTGCACAAGCAAGAAAAGGGAAGGATATACAAGGTATCCCATGGGAGAGGTTGAATGTAACCAGGCAAAGTTACAGATTAACAAGGCTCGAACAGTATAGAAATTATGAGAACATTCCTTTGTCAGGGGAAGCTGTCGATAAGGTATGTGCACTGCAATTCTTTTCTAGTTTAAAGACTTCCATTTGGGTCACTTCGCTGCGACCACAGTAAGATTCTTATCTTTGCTGGTCATTTACATGATTGCATTTTCAGGTATGCGAACAAGTGGAGAAGGGTGCCAACTACTACGAATTCTTTTATAATGCAAGATCCGTTAAGCCTACAATACTACATTTTCAGGTCCGCTTTATTCTGCAGATTCTGCATACACGATGACAATTTGTGTTTTACTCACCTACTTAAAGTTGACCTGCCAAATGTCTAAAACATTGAATTCCTAATGCTACAGCAGCAGAGACTTCTTTTGGACTCCTTCTGTGACAATCGGCATACTACTACAACTACGGCTCAGTCCCAAACAAGTTGGGGCCAGCTATATGAAACACCTAACTGACCACGTTACTCGATTTAAACTCATCTCATGTCAATGTTATGCAACAACAACAACATCCCAGTGGAATCCACAAGTGGGGTCTGGGGAGGATAGTGTGTACGCAGATTTACCCCTACCTATGAAGGTAGAGAGGCTGTTTACGAAAGACCCTGGCCTCAAGAGCGTAAAACAAATAGAGCAATATAGAAACAATAGCATCAACAATGTAATAAGATAGTGTAAGCAAATAATACAACGAATAATGACATAGATACAAGGAAATGAACAACAAGAATAGTGCCACTCTCACTGCTAATACTGACATGCCGTATATAAACAAGGGACTAGGGATAGGAAGGTACCCCACTAGTACAACTACTACTAGTAAGACAAGGCAAACTCTAGACTGTCTATTAACCCACCACCCTAATTTTCGAACTCCACACCTTTCTATCGAACCTTTCGGGTCATGTCCTCGGTAAGCTGGAGCAGATCCATGTCCCGCCTAATCACCTCACCCCAGTTCTTCTTAGGCCTCCCTCTACCCCTGCTCTGACTCGCCACAAGCAACCTCTCGCACCTCCTAACCGGGGCATCAACGTCTCTCCTCTTCACATGACCAAACCATCTCAGCCTCGATTCCCTCAACTTCTCTTCCAGAAGGGCCACACCCACTTTGTCCCTAATATATTCATTCCTAATCTTATCTTTTCTGGTATGCCCACACATCCATCGCAACATCCTCATTTCTGCTACATCCTCATGTCAATGTTATGCAAATACAAACAAAAAGTATCATAAGTTATGTGTATTTTCTAAACGTATGAATCTATGAAACGCTAAACCACTCCTAGAAAGCATAGGACACACAGTAAAAGTGCTGACATAAACAATATATTCTCAACTAATATATATCGCATTTATAGATCTTTTTCTTCCAGTGTGCCCTATCTTTTGCTATGTGTGTGTGAATCCCTAGAAATTGTAGGTCATTCGAGACAACTTCCTTCCAAATGATTTTAGGTCTACCTCGTCCTCTTTTTAACACTTCCGCTCACCGACCCGATTTTCGTGTGTTTCGTTTTTCTTTTCCCTTTCATATTGAAATATTGAAATAAATAAAAAAACAAGGCATATTTTTGTTCCTCCAGTAATGAACAAAAATTATTAGGTTGCCAAATGAATTATCTCTAATTTCTTATTTTGTAAGTAGGTGAGATACCATATGCGATGTTTTGGGGAGGGGGGGGGGGGTATCTCTTAATTACAGTTTCAAAGTTTGGATTTGTTCTGTGATCTTTGCCAATGGCCTTTTTTTTTGGTGTGGTCAATTTGCTGAGTGGAGATCTTTTAATGACTTCTTTTGCCTCTTGTGCAGCTAAGGAACTTGGTGTGGGCAACTTCAAAGCATGACGTGTATATGATTTCGAACTATTCACTTATGCATTGGTCATCCATTTCTCGCAACCTCTCAGAAGTTATCAACTTCTCTGGACACATAGCACCGACGGAGGTAATTGAAAAGTATTTAGTGATGGTCCCCTACTTTAGTTTCCTGTAATGCTCTTGCTTCTTTTTTCCTCCTCTTAGGCATGACATAGCCTGGAAATTTACTCTTATATGCGTATATGTGTTTTCAGTTCTCTGATTTCTTGGCTTTGTGGTGGGTATTGACAGAAATATCCTGCACCATTCCCCGCCACAAAACAGGGGCGAAGAAGAAAGAAGTTCCACTTGAATTTTTCCTCTTTAACATTTTTCTCTTTGCCTTTTAGGGATATAACTATTTCTTCTCTTGCTTATGTTTTACCTATTCTTTTTTGTTGTTTTGGGCCTCCAGAAACACGCAGGAAGTTTGTTAGAGGGTCTGACACAAACCCAAATCAGCACGATGGCAGTGAAGAACCGTTTTGTGGTTGCTGGGGGCTTCCAAGGAGAACTCATTTGTAAGGTCAGTGTGGATATTTTCCTTCATCTCTTAATCACTGAGATTAGCTGGGTCAGTAAAGAAAAAGCTGACATGGTGTTGGTGGATTCTTAGTTTTAAAAAAAAGAAAAGAAATCCTTTCAGCTAAACTTTGGTTTCTTAGTGGTACTTGCTTAACAATGCTTCAAATGATATTGCAGAGTTTGGACAAGCCGGGAGTCAGCTTCTGTGCAAGGACCACTTATGAGGATAATGCTATCACAAATGCCATAGAGATATACGAAAGCGTCAGGTAGAGTGTGACCGTCATAGTTAGTTGTTGAGCTAGTTTGAAGTTTCAACTAATGAAAGTAAAGTGTAAACATTATTGCAGTGGTGGGCCTCGTTTTATGGCATCCAACAACGACTGTGGTGTGAGAGAGTACGACATGGAAAAGTTTCAGCAAATGAACCACTTCCGCTTCCCTTGGCCAGTGAATGTCAGTCTTTTCACGTGCTTTTTCTGCTCTTTTTGTTCTTCCCTTTTCTTTGCCCCCCCCTCCCCTTTCTTTTAAACTTCTTTGCATTAGTTACTACCCAGACCCCATTTATGGGAATACACCGTACACTGGGTTTGTTGTTGTTACATTAGTTACTACTTACCATATTATTATTTGGTTGTTCATGAAGTATAAATATACTTTGTTATACAAGTGAATTGTCATTGTTATCCTCCTCCTCCCCTTCATCATCATCATTATCTGTTGTGTTGATGGACTTCAACTTTCTGATTTAAAGTGAGTGGAAGAGATTATTCTATAATCTCTTTCTTATTTAACCTATGTGATTCAGGACCTCGTGACAGCCCAACAAAGAGCTTTTAATAGCGGTGGCAAAAATTACTAGATTTCTTCGCATCTGCCCAAGCCTTTGGTGGGCAGAGTTACCGGATACCTGTGCTGGTGGGAGGTACCAGGTACTCCGTGGAATTACTCGAGGTGTTCGCAAGCTGGCCCGGATACCATCGTAAAAAAGATATCCCTACTAAAATGAACTGGCATGTAGAAAGTGAAAATGCATAAGCTGTTGTCCGCTATCAAGAAGTTCCATCAACCTTCTACTAGTTTCTTCAGATCTAGTATGAGATTTTGTTATTGGTAGGCAAGGATTTAGTTCTTTGGGCTCAGGACCTAGTCCATTATCCAGTTTGAATTGCATTTCCTCTGAGGTTCTCGGATACAAAAGTAATAAGTAGGGATATTCTTTATATGTCCAAATTGCTAGTTCACATTCGCTTCAATTTTCATCTGGATTAAAAATTTTCTTTCTTGCTGTCTACATGCTTTATGTTTCGCAAATATTTTGATTCTGTTCAAAGCTGCATCTTTCAGGAGCTTATGTATTTAGAATTTCACTGGTAATTAATGCAGCACACCTCGATGAGCCCAGATAGCAAGCTTTTTACTATTGTTGGGGATGATCTAGATGGTTTACTTGTTGATTCCCGCAATGGAAAGGTATTTTAAATTTTTAGCCATTACCTTCTACATCAGATGGAATGCACGTTTTTGGTTATGTAAATACATAATGTTAGTTTCTTAGTTCAGAAGCGCACTCTGAAGCATGTTAGGCATATTATGGTTACTGCACTTATGATGAGGTGATTATTTGGCGAAAGTATTCCGGAAAATTTTTTGCAAAGAATTGCAGTGTACTTTTGTTTCTAGTATTTTCTCATATAGATCTTTTTATGGGAGCAAAACGTGTTTGAACTCGGTCTTTGCTGATCCATAATTGTCCTCCACTGAACTATAAGTCTTAAAGTTTATGTGAATTTTAGACTATTTTTTTTGGTCGAAGATGTCTATTTCCCCCTCCATATTTTTGTTTTTCATGATGACTTCTCCATTTGCTGAACTTACAATGAACTTTGCTACTGTATCAGACTGTGGCCTCAATTGCGGGTCATTTAGACTACTCTTTTGCTTCTGCATGGCACCCAGATGGCCGTACATTTGCCACTGGGAATCAAGATAAGACCTGTCGGATTTGGGACTTGAGAAACCTGTCCTCGTCTACGGCCATTTTGAAGGGAAACATGGGTGCTGCACGATCTATCCGTTTCTCATCCGATGGACGGTTCCTGGTAGTGGCTGAACCTGCAGATTTTGTCCACATTTATAGTACTGATTCAGATTACAAGAAACGTCAGGAAATTGATATTTTTGGTGAGATATCAGGGGTAGCTCTGAGTCCGGATGATGAGTCTCTTTACATTGGAATCTGGGATCGAACGTATGCAAGCTTGCTAGAATACCACCGAAGGCGTTCTTGTAGATATCTCGATTTGTTCACATAATTCTTCGACGATTTAGGAAAAAAATGGGTCCTGCAGTTTATTCACATCAAGCCCAAATATTTTGCGCAAATTCGTCCGATTAGTCAAGGCATATGGTACCAGTTCTTGATCTTGGCATACTATGTATAGTTTCCTTAAGAGCAAGCTGTATTTCTGCTTATATACAATCTCTCTGATGTACCATTTTAATTGTGTTGTACTTTTACTTGGGTTAAAAAGAGAAAAAAGAACAACATATTGCTGTAATTGGTAGAGGAATACTAAAGTTAGTGATAAGGAAAAAGATGTCACAAAACATGTAATGTTTCTTGGTTGCTTCTTGATCTTTAGAGATACATTATTGTATGCTTTAGGATAGATCAATTAGTTTCAGACTTTCACATTCAAAAGCTTGAAATCAAAGCTCAGTTGCCTGCAAGTTTCGGGGTACCGACATTGTCACGGAGCATGGGAAGGACGCGCGGCGATTACCCCCTCTAGGAACGAGCAAGGAGGATTGGTTTCCTCACCCATAACTCTGCCATGTGTTTTTTGGATAAAATCCGGTGACAATTCTCCACTCATGTCCTTCCAGAGCTGGGTAAGTGATCTTCAAGAGGTGGGTAAGTGATCTTCAAGGGGTCTGAGGATACTAGCTTCACGGGACGGCAGGCTCCGCTCCTCGCTCGAGCTACCAGCTTTCTTAGATCTCATTCATGTTGACTAATCCGAGCCAAGATTGTACGAAGAGAGAAAGACTTAAGTGGCGTCACAAGCGTTGCACGGAACACCAATCCAATCTCGACGAAAAAAAGGAAAAGCAAGAGTCCCCGTTTCTGGTGTTTTAGACACCTTTCAATGGCTCCCTTAATTATGTGGGCTTTGGTTTAGCGGTAAGAGTACAACTTGTGATATGTGGATTAGGCGCATGTTATGTGTTCTAACTCTCCCACATGACAAAAGCTTGATATTTAAGCAGAAAAGAGTAAAGGTTGGTTCATTATCACCAAAATGTGAATCGTGTACCACTGATCCTCGGGAATTTTATCGGTTATTCGGAGAAAAAACCTGATTCATAATTTGATTATAATAAAATGGTGTTGTCTTACTCAACTCAAGAAGCCTTTTCCACACACTACAATCTTTTTTTTCCTTCTTTCTATTCATTCTTTATTTCTTAAAATCCAAGAACAAATAAAATGACACCTGATTAATAAATCTTGTGGTTAACCTGATTAGTTACACAGGTTAACCAATATGAAAGAAAAATAGTTGTTATTTTTATACGGCTTATAGAATCTTTATAATAAATCTGTAGCAAAGCTGAAGAGAGACACCGGCTACTTCTTTCTGTACATTTCAATCTTTCCAACATGCATATTTAGTAACTTTTGAAGATCTATTTAATTTTTGTAATACTTAAGATTGTACAGAGATTCCAAAATGATTGTACATATAATGTAGCTATGTTACTTTAACTAAGTGAAATTTGACTGCTATATTTATACATAAATTTTGTGATCTTAGTGGCTCCTCAATGAAATTTTGCCGAGAAGGCATATCTACCATAGAGCTAAATTGCTCAATATTGCTTACACTCAAATGCACGCAAACCCTTCTAGTATATTAATGCATAAGTATACAAAGAAAACTGCTAAAAATTTATGCCATGTATAGAATACCTCTAAGGTATTTTATTGAGTATCCAGAGATTTGAAATATAAAAATAAAGAATAAGAAGATGATTCATGAAAATGTTCAAGATGGTAGAATAGGCGAAAAAGAGCGAAAAATCTCCCAGAAATTAAGGTAATTTTTTGTTTATTGAAAAGTGAGAAGAAATCAAATTAATAGATAAGGATAGAAATCGATTTCTCATTTTTAGTGGGGGCAGTAACATTTATATGTAGTTGTATTAAATGTAGGTTTTGTTTTAAATGAAAGATATAATATTTTGACTGCAGAAATTGTGCTTTAGTACTTATTTTGAAAATCACATTTAATTTTTTAAATTGCTATAAAAGTAAATAAATCTATCATTTTTGAAATAAACCAAAAGTTGTGTTGTTTATATATATAAGTTTTAAAATATGACCTATCACATAAAAATCTCATTATATCATACATCTGCCAGCTATTTTTAGTTTAAGAGGTTAGGTGGACAGCTATTAGAGTTAGTTCTTTTTACATTTGCCTGCCTATCCATTCTCTCTCAATCCAAGAGACTTTCATACCCATTCATTAGCCCAACAAAAATTAAGGTTATAAGAGCCCAAAAAGAAAGCCCAATCCGTCTTGCTCTATCAGGTTTCCTCTTCTGTCACATAATTGCCACGCGAGCCATATAAGCGCCACGTGAGGGCCAACGGTTTAAGTGGGCCTTTGGACATAAGAAATTGTAAAAATCCGAAAAATATTATAAAAAAATTCAAGTGAAAATGCGTTTTAAAATTAGAGTTTTGTTTGGATATAAATATAATTTTAGGTTTGTTTTTGAATTTTTATGAGCAATGTTAGTTAAAATTTTAAAAAATAAAATTTTGAAAATATTTTAAAATTCATATTCAAATATTGATTTCGAAAGGTGATAAAATGTCGGGAAAAAAGTGAAAAAATTAACCCATTCCCATTCTTTTCCTCACATAATTCTAGGGTTTTCAGCCATTTGACTCCTCTCTGTCCAGTAGTGCTCTTCTCCCCATTGCCATTTTTGAGTAATTTTCAGCCTTTTCATCAAGCAATATCAGAATTTTGTTCATCCCTTTTACTGCAAAATTCGCCTCTTCTTTGGAGTATTTTGGTGTTCAAACACCCTTGCCCTTCTTTATTTTGCTCTTTACAATATGTCAAACTCAAAGATCAGAGGAGGTTGCACCATTTTGGGTAATTGTCTGAAACAAATCAATAGCGAAATCAGAAGAGATCTGAAAGATATTGACCAAGGATGCTCATATCATAAGCGAAATTGCACAAGGTACAACATATTGTCTCTCTTTTTCATCCTTTCCGTTCTGGGCATTCCGCTCTCTGATTTCTCTTTCGTCTCTTTACTTCTTTTTCTGACTATTTCTGCCGAGAGTAAAATGTTCAAAAGACAAAAATGCCTAATTTCAAAATCCCGCCCAAACCCTATGAACAAACCACTCTACTTTTTTCAGATACTCTCTAAAAAGACCCTAGTTGCTCTGCCTCTGTTGGCCCTTCGCCATAGCAGAGGCGTCCTGTTTCGCACTTATCGGAGTTGGTGACTGTTCGCGCTACTAAGCTCTACCTCAAGTTTGAAGCCTGAGTCAAGTAGAGCATGTTTAAGACGAATCCATGTTTCTGTGTAAGCTTGTGAAAATGCTGTCAGCTTCGCACTTGTATTCTTTTCTGTTTAGACATCACGACTTTACGTTTTTATTAAATCTTTAGTTATTTAGAGATCATGAACATGTAATTTAATATAAATAGTGCTTTAGAATTTGTTATCACTCATGCATATAAGTCTTATGTATGAGAGATTGTGTGCTTAGTAATCATACCATTAAGATTTTTGAACACTATCTGTTAGTAGCATGTCGTATCTAGACATGATAGAGATTTCTTGGGTTAAGAGATTGAATATATTTTTTAGGCTCATGAGTCACTATTTCAGAATATTAAAGTTGACTCATATTAGATAATTATGTTTAAACCATGTTAATGACTGATATGTCAGTTAAAGTATTTCGTAATTAACTAGGTAATTTAAAAAAATAATAATTTGTGTTTAATATAGGAATTGAAAAGATCAATCTCTTAACTGAAATCATTTACTTGGCTAATTATAGAACTCATTATTTTGAACAAAAGGCGTCTCAATAAAATTCGTGGCCTAAAGCCAAATTTTAATAAGTGGCCTTAATTTCTTATTTTTTCTACCTATAGTATATAGTTAGCTTGCAAATATAGTATTAATATTACATTGGTTTCTTTTTTTTTGTCTCTTATGGAGTTATCTTATAAAATGTAATATTAATATTCACATTGGTAATAAAATTGATGTTAGCCATGTATTTACAATTTGTTACCTTGGATCTTATTGTAATAAACGTTATTTATCAATATGACGATGTGAGTATCTTAATTCAAAGCTCTAAAATATTTTTATTGTTAAAAAATAGATAGTGTTTCTTTCTTTTTTTATAAGGATTTTGTATTTTTTTTCTTTCTAAGCGAAAAAAAGATTGAAAATTCACAACTAAAAATATGTTTTGGGCACCAAAATTTAGGGGCCTAAAGCAAAGGCTTTACTAGTCTCCCCCTTGAACCACCCCTGTTTGAACTAATCAGTGTTGCTAAACTTTAATTTTATACAACAGTGGAAGAAGTATTCTGCTAGCATTCTTATTAATCAGAATATTTGAGCCCTTTACCGAAACTGCAAAAATCATGTTCATAGGGATATTGTGTTTAAAAGTTTTGCCAGAAAAGATATTGGGCTTCTTTCACTGTTTAAGATAGTCCCATGTTTTTAACTTGATAATCTTTCTTTTCATAACTTAGAAACCATCATTATAAATGTTACTGTGCTCTTAATGACCTAAATTGATTAGAGAATATTAACCAGAATGCTCGAGACTTTGTGTTTTGGTCCTTAGCTAAGACTCAGCAATGTTTGAAATGAGAAGAAGAATATTCTGTTGAAATGTTAAGGCACCTTCTCTTGTTTCTTTCCAGCAGTAGTAAAAATGGGGATTTAGATTTTGTTAAGGTGATTAGGAGTAGTTAAGTTCTTGGAATTAATATTTGCGCTATTGTTATCATTCTAAAATAAAAGTTAGATTTTACTTGGTTTCCAAAAAACTCGTTTTTATTAAAATGAGGCATTAAGTCAACGAGACATTTAGCTTTCAAATTCGCTTAAAACATTGGCTTCATGGCAGATCAACAACAACAACAAACCTAGTATGTTTCCACCAGGTGGGGTCTGAGAAGGGTAGTTTGTACGCAGACCTTACCCCTACCTAACAGGTAGAGAGGCTGTTTCCAATAGACCCTCGGCTCATGAAGGGAAATTTTGTAATTAATATGAACATATTTGTTGATTGAGTTAGCATACCTTTGCCCATTCAGTAACATTTTGACTATGAAAGCACTTCGTTAAAAGCTATTTTTCATACACTTAGGAGTTGTTTGGTAGGAGGTATAGGAATAGTCACTTCCGTTTTGGTCTAGGAAACGCCATTTTATGAAATGGCCATTCAGTATGAACTCTGAACTCCATGCATCAGATATATATAAAAGAAATGCACCATGTGTGGTTAGTATACAAGCCAAAGCTTGGGACTCTTGACAGGTGAATTGTAGAGAGTACACATTTGTTTGATATTATATTTGTTTGAAAAATAGAGTTTTT